TCTAAAACATAACTGCACAATGTAAGCAATGACAAATATGGAAGTAGCTGCTTGTGTATTTGCATGGCTAAATCCCTAATGATTTCCAAAGACAAAACAAAGAGAGAACTATTCAAAAATATAAGTGCCATCTGCCATTGAAGAGTGGCAGCTTAAATGATTCAAGGGCCTTCCATTTATGTAGGTACTAAGTGCATTTTTTTTGGTGCCCCACTTCACTGGAATGGTGGAATATCATGTGTCAGGATAATAAACATGGTCTAGCACACAAAGCCCATGCACTTGTCCAATCATGTCTTCTATGCCTCCCCCCCCCCCCCCCCCCGGCAATGCCATTCTGCTCAACTTCAACTATTAAACATTTAAGTGCCTTTTTTAACGGGGCAATCTTAAAAAAACATCATGTAACAAAAACTTATCTGGTCATCAGTTTATGCAGTGGTAAAATGTCTTGACTGCTACATCTTCCTATAATCTACACTTAAGCAACCATTTTGCGTATTTCTACTGTTTTCAGACCAAGCGAAAAACAAAAGCTCTACGGTTCTCTTCTCTCCATTTAAAGTTAGGTATGCATATATTGCATTTATGTCGGGGCCAGAGAAAGCAACCCGAGTGAAGCACAGGAGCCAGAATGGGTGAAAATAGATAAGAAAGGGTGGGGGAGCTGTTAACAGTTCTCGTATTTTATTTTTGTTGTAATTGTCCAAATGCATTGTAACCCGCTGAGAGCCTTAAGGACTGAGAGGGATACAAATATAAACAATAAAATAAATATTACTGCAGGGCCAGCCTGTAAACAAAGCATTCTAATGACAAATATTTCATTTAAGGCCTCCTGCTGCGCTACTACCCAAGGAATAATGTTTTATTCCAGCAGCCATGCTTCACCAATGCTGTGCATGTTTAGAGGGAAATACAAAAGGAATTAATGTACCTAATTGCACCGAGAACTATCCATCCAACAACGTCAGCTCTGCAAATTCACTAAGAAAGGCCTAGTTTCTCGCAAACGACAGATGAGGTAATAAACTTCAGTCTGGACTGTACCACTTAAAACAGTAGATGGGTGCTCATGGGACTCAATGTTCTCCATTCAAACAAAAAACTTTTCACATAGAAAACAAACATGCCAGGGAGAAGACTAGGTATAACTCTTCTCACTGACATCTCTTTGTGTGTGTGTGTGTGTGTAGGCAATTTTTTCTACAAAGGCTCGTTCAATCATGTGAGCCTCTACCTGCAGCCTGAAGAGGTACAGTCCAGAAACAAGTTTATCTCCTCATTCTGTTTGCAAGGCTGAAGATTTCTTTTTTCATTTTATAGCAGAGGTTCTTAACCTATATCACAGTAATCCTCTTTAAAGCTGGGAAGGGAAATTTAAGCCTGCCCAAGTATTACCAAGACAACATAAACCAGAGTGTTCCGCTGGCAAAGCCCACTCCTGGAGGAAATGCCGGGGCAAGCAGATCCACGGCAAAACACGAAATAGGCCTCTGGGGAAAGTCTCCCGCCCCCCCTGCCCCCCCCCAGATCTGCAGCACTAACACGACCACCTGCTCTCAACTTCACCTGGGTTGTTGACAGGCAGGAGACAGCTTAGCATTTGGGAAGAGGCTGCAGAAGAACTCACACTTTACCTAGAAACTGCTCCTGTCTTCCTACGTAATGCCCACTTCATATTTTGAAAGCTTTATAGGCATTTTGGCCCTATTACTGTACTGGTATATCTCATTCATACTGGGACTCATACTGTTCTCATTTCAGGTATCTGTAACACATCCTTGAAAGTGCATGTGAAACCAAACAACTACCAGGCTGGGTGGGGGGGGACGACGACAGAAAGCATAAGTATATCAAGGGGGGGGAGGAAATTAGTAAGCCCTCATACAATGGATGGAAACTACAAACACTGCAGAGGTGGCGAACGACCGAATAGAACAATCCTAGCTCACACCCCAAATTTGCAAAATAATTCTTTAAATATATTTTCTAGGAATAAAAAAGTAATCTGCTTTCATAAACGCTGTGGCATTAGACTCCACTGTGCTGAAGAAATCAAACCTACATCCTTGGTATTCAGGCTGAGCCCAGGAAAGTCCCCTTAAACATTATTCAGGTCCTCCCAAGTTTTCCCTGTTAAGGTCACATGGCCTCTAAACCATCATGGCTGGATTGTTTTAGTGCTCTCTGCTGAACACCTGCAAACATCAAACAAAAACTGCTGGTCCTTTACAGCATTGACAAAAGCCTTTCATGTGAAAAATGCATCCTGGGAATGTCAGGCCTGTGGCTCAGGTTACATTCCATTCTCCCATGCAGCCTCCCAATTTTTTGAGGTAGGAAGAGGCCACATTTGCAAAATTAGAGATTAAAGGAAAATACAGGCTCACTGTATTTTTTTATTTGCACATTACAAATCACATCAGATTACCATGCATTACAGCAGCAGAGAGAGAGAGAGAGAGAGAGAGAGAGAGAGAGAGAGAGAAGGCCACCCCATATAATTTCTTCTCTTTGGGATCTTCTGCTGCACACCAGAAATTTCAAACCAGCACACAAGACATTGCTAAGTGATCCATTTAAGGGGAATACTAAACTTAAAAAGAGATGTGGACAAGTGCCTAAATTCTCCAATCAAACCCTTAGAGTGTATCTTCCCCAGCAGGGAAAAGGAAGTGCATCTGAGTCTCTCAGCTTATAATTTATTTGCTAAATGTCTTGCTATATCAATAAGAAAAGTCAGGGCAACAAACCAGATTCTGGAGTGACTCCACAGTGGTGCCTAGTTTTCTGCAGCTGACAATTCGTTGTCTAAAACCTATCTTGCTGCCATCTCCAAGTACTTCATAACACAATCACCTATCATGTTTAGACTGACTATTAACAGTGCAACTGAAAGGTGAATAAGTATACCTTCAGGTCACCAGTTTCCCAAAAGATTCAGTACCAGTTAATAACACGTGGGATTCTGCAACTTTCTATAGCCACTGAATGTTCAGTTAGCTTTTGCCACATGCCAAAAAGAAAAAAAGACTGCTACTATTTACACACAAAGAACTCTACATCTTCAGCACATTATAACAACCCTACTTTTCATTTCTCTTCAACAGGACACTAGAATCTCTCCTTGTGTTATATGCACAGACAGCACAGCAAAAGTAGCCATTCATACACACAATCTACTTGGAGATCAGTCCAGTGATTTCAAATGGATTTATTTATAAAGTCTGCATAGTACAGTGGCTTGAGGCATTGTTTTAAGATCTCCAGTGCTTAATTTTACTGCTTTGACTCAAGTGGTTTTTTCCCTTTCTTTTCCTTTTCAATTATTTGCTTGTTAGACTTAACACATCAATGCGAAAATTTTGCACTGGGCACACTACAATGAAAACTTTGATTTCCCTAGATTTGCAGATAATGTCCTCACCCCTTTTAAACTGCTAATCAACTGGCCTGATGGTAGATTATTAAACTGAGGAAAATCCCTTAAAATGAGCATCTTGCTAATAGTCGCTTGACCAACAGTTAGCTGTAGCATTGATCGTATATCAGCCTGACAAATTGATTTATCTGGCACAAATACTTTACTGAGTCTACAGTTGGGGAGAAATCCTGAATGCTATACTTTTTTTAAAAAAAATAGGTATTGTAAATAAAATATTACAAAACTCAATTAATCTCTACAGATCATGCTTTGGTTGGATATAAAAATCTACTGAGACTGTTGGGGTATGAAATCTAAGAAACCGTGTTCAGGAATTAAGGTGTAAAGATGCCCATCAGTGAAATCTCTACTATCATTGTACTGAAGATAGAACTGTCCATGAGACATACTTCTGTTCATTTTTTTAAAAATCAATATAAACAAAGAATTCTGAAGTTGAAGCTTAGTATTAAAAATACAAAATGAACTTTTTGGTATCATAACTTGAGCTGAAAAAGAGAGACTAGTGTAACCAAATGCCTACTGAAAATAACATTCTTTCATTCCAGTTACACTTTGTTTCCAGTCACACTCTATCAAAATCATCGGGAATTTTGCCACTGACTCGACAGGAATAGGAGAGCACCCCTAGATAATCATTGGGAGTGAACTCGTAAAAGCTTGTAAAAATTTAACATCTGGTTCAGAGATGCTCTCCATATAAGAACACTTTGTACAGTGCAACTGCCAAAATATTGAAAGCGCTACAGCTGTTTAATTGTAGATATATTTGAGGTGTGTCCAAAGAACTAAATGCAACAATTTTGGGAACGGAATGCAATGAAATTATTTGGGAGGGAGATTCGAATGTGCATTTCTCTTTGCTAGCCCAATAGAAAATGAATAACTTCCAATATATAAGCAGCTTCTGTTCTTGACATTCGATTACTATATGCAGGAGCTCTTGCATTTACAACCGGACTACACAGGAAGATTCTATTTTTGTTGAATGCAAAACTTCCTCCTTTCATCACAAATAAACATGTATATTAATGTCAATAGGGTCTTCTTCTAAAAGGAGTGAAAGCCTTTAAGAAATCCAGAAAAGCAGGTCTTTATTAATGAAAAAAATTCATTCAGTTACACTACCTAGCCATTTGCTAATGGATCCCTAAACAATCCATCACCAAACACTAATCTCTAAAACAGAATCAGGTCTTTAAAAAAAACCAGGTGGGGCACTGAAAGTGAGGAGGATTTATTCCTGAGGTGTGTTTACGTTCCTCACATAACAAAAGGGAAAACGGATTTTTAGAATTTCAGAACTGCCAAAATTTTATTTTGTTTCAAACTGCGTGTAAACTAGTTCTTGCGGAACGACCACTGATGCAAAATATATTTTAAGAAATGCTCTATAATATGCATATGGCAATACAAACATCATATATGATTCAACTGAAATCTCAATAGAATTCCACCCCCCAAAAACAGAGCTCTGTAAGTCGCACACGCAGCAGATGCGGAAAAATACCTAAGGACACTTCACTGCATGCTAAACACAAACTGTACATACTTGAGCCAGTAAAATGTCCACTTGCCAAAGAAGTTGGTCCATTTTTTCCACTGCTCACAGGAGGTGAAAACATCTAAAAGAAAACAAAGAGGCATTATTGTTGGTAAGCAGGATTTCCCCCCCCACCATCAATTGATAGCTTACATTTCATCTTGCACCTATACAAAAACAACAATGATGGCTTATTTAAATACGGAACATCTCCCATCTCCGTTTTCACAATGGTAAAACAGTTTCAACAGTCTACATCCCATCTTTTCCCCCTTTTGCCAGCCCAAAAAATATTTTTTTGGGGGGGGGGGGGGCGCTTCAGTACCCCAGCTACAACATTAAGCTTTTATATCAGGCAAGTAAAAACACTTCTGAAACTCTTAGACTGACAACGATGAGGGGGGAAAAGTTTGTGACTGAAACCTTGGTCATAAATGTGGCTATATCCATTTCCATCCCGTTTTAGGGTTTGCTTGTCATACATGAAACCCAAAAAAATATATATTAATCCAATGTTCCACCTGCCCTAAATTTTCATTTCGGCTCTTAATGTGAGAGCAATCTGAAGCAAGACACTCTCTCTCTTTCTCTCTCTCTCTCTCCCCCTCTCTCTCTCACACACACTCTCCAGCATTTATTTCGACCCTAATTGGTTTCCATCTTCTTCGACGTGTCTAGTGGATAATACGCACCTTCCTGAGTCAGAGACTACAAAAAGCAAAAGGAACAAATGGAAAAAGCGCAGCTAGGAAAGTGGGGGCTACAGATCTGCCTGAGGCTACAGTTCCTAGCCAAACTTCCCAAAGCCATTTCTCTAAAGGAAAGTCTCAAAGACAACAGCAGACTGAGATAGCCCCCATTTACAAAGCTGATTTTATTTTCCCCCTCCAAGCACTGAAATTATTTAAAGACACAAATGCATCCTACATCAAATTGACTTGTCTTGGGTCCCCCCCCCTTCTGTGAACAAATAAATAAAGACTTCTGACATACTGTAAGAAGGGGGGGAGGGGAAGTTTAGAAGGAGGGGGAGAGAAAAGAAGAGATGGGGAGAGAGAGAGGCAGAAGGGGGGGGGGTTAAAGCACTAGGCAACTCTCCAGACCTGGTTAACATTTGGCCTCGGAACTAATGTATTTTCCCCAAAAAAGAGCCTAAAGAGAACATAAGTTATTATAATTAGAAAGAAAAACCACGCAGACATGGACAATCCACCACTCATCAGTGGGAGGGGGGGTCCACAGAAGAGATCCAACTCATTCATTGATAAACAGGAGCATCCTGAGATTTCAGTGAGAACTTGAAATTGAACTAGTCCTGGATTTCCTTTCACTTTTCCATGTGCCAAAAAAATGAAACAAGGGAAGAACTATGTGCACGCTAAGTGTGTAACTGATTAGCCCACCAGTTAGTCAGTGTGCAAGCCACACTTTTTGAATAAAATGCACAACGCTAAGCAACTGTTATTAACCAAGAATGACGAGAAATATCGTAATTTTTTTACAAAGGATGTGACAATTTTTTTGTGGGCGGTCAAATTATAAGAGCTCGTCCAAGTAAACTGCATACAATACTCTGTCTCCTTACATATTCTAATTTAATTACAACAGTAATAATAATAATAGTAATAATAGAGCATGCATATTTACTGTGGATCTAGCTGCTGATCAAAAATTATGTACTTAACTCACAGCTTCTGCTTTGTTTTGGCTCAGTGTACCACACTTTGGGGGTTCGTTTCAGAGGGTACTCAATGTTGGTCTGCAGTAGGAAAGCTAGACTGGAGCCCAGTACCACCTTAGAGACCAACAAGATATTTGGGGTATCAGCTTCCGATCTTTGACTCTTCCTTGGTATCTGACGAAGTGAGTTTTGCCTCTTTAAAAGCTTATACCCCAAATATCTTATTGGTCTCTATGATACTACTGGAGTCGAATCGCACTTTTTGAAGGGGTGGGGGGAATTTTTGTTTTGATCCTTTCTTTTCTCTCTTTTTTTTTACAGCTGTTGTTAATTTCCACCGTTGTTTCTTACCGCACTGAAATCCAGTAAATCACTGAGTTCTTTGTCCGTCCCTAAGGCAGCCATTCGCTGTTGGTGATGCATTTTAGCAAAATCACACAAACCTAGAAACATGGAAATAACCGCAATCAGAAACCCAGTCCCGAGCCTTGCAGGAAACAACAATCGGATTTTTTTTTCTTTAAAAAAATGAGACTAGTAGGGGGAGGGCAGGTTGAGGAAGGGGGGGGGGAGAAGATGGAGGGGTAGCAACAACAACGGGGAAGAGTGCAGGAAAGACGACACTGTAGCTCCAACAAGCCGCTCTGAGCCCGGTTATCAGACACTCTAACCCCAAATCCAGAAGAGAGAGAGAGAGAGAAGTGGAGCCACACCGTTCAGCAAGTCCTTTATGCAACAGGAGGTTCGACAAATAATGAATGAGCCCACCGTACAAACTACAGCCATCCGCTCACAACTTTCCTTTATGTAAAAATATATCTATATCTATATTTCACCTTTTCCTCTCGGTACAAGAAGCATTTACAGATTATTTTTGTACAAAGCCAGTAACAAAGTCTTTAGATAAGAATGGAGCAACAGACGCTCGCTCGCTCGGTGCAAAAAAAGACGGGGGGGGGGGAAGAAGGATGGGGAACTTGGGGAAGGTGGTGGGGAGAGAAAAAGGAAACCAACCTTTGACAATCAGCCTAGATGCCTCTTCTAATTAAACTGCTGGAAAGGGGGGGGGGCGCTGGGAGAGACAGCATTAACCCTTGACAATGGGCTGTCTAATTTATGGAAGATAACTGAGAGTGGAAAGTAACTAACTGCAACTAAAGGGCACCTCGGGCCCATCCACAACAAAGTAATCCGATTCTTTAAAACTGAACACATTGAAGGAGAGGGGGAAGAGAGAGAGAGATGAAAAGGCCACTGTAGCCTCCCACCACCACCTACCGAAAGAAGAGGGGGGGGGGGGAAGAGATTTCATGTGTTTTAAATGAATCCACCACCGGTTGTAGTCCGGGCTTCTCCTAAGGAGCAACAACCACAACTAAACTCCCTTCTATAAAGTCGCTCATTTTAATGGAGGGGGAGGGAGACACCTCCGGTTGGTACCTACCGGCCGAGAGAGGAGAGAAGGGGTTCCCTTTCCGACCGCAGCCCCGAGCTCTGGGTTTCATTGCTCGAAATCACTGCATCCACCAACCGCACGCAACACGCAGAAGAAAGAGATAGGGGGGGAAAGGCGAAAAAGAGAGAGCGAGCGAGAGAGAGACCCCGCTGGCGCCACGCGAAAGCTCTCCCCGAAC